CGGGATTTTCCAATACCCGGGTTAAAATCTCCCAAGTTGTGGTTAGTGTAAACGTCAAAAAGTCCGACTCGGGTTGCCAAACATTCTGGGATGGACTTTCAGGGCACATTCAGCGTAGGACAACCCGGGTGCATTCCGGAGTCGCCAGTCTAAACAGCACCGAATTTGATTCTGGAATTAGGCCTTACCTGGCGCCTACCGCAGCTGTGGTCAGGTACAATAAGCCTAAACTTTGCTAACAACGGGCTAGGCCTAGACACTTTTCAAATTAAACCCTCTACACTCCGGTATAGACTTGATATCAAAACTGCTGATTTAATTCGCATAATTTAAAACAATCTGCAGGTACATTGCTTCAATATTGACAATAATTGTGGCTTCGTGATGACGAGGAACTCGATATACTCCTTGACCGAAGTGATGATCACCATCAAAGATCTTATAAACGCAAGATAGCGTTCTCCGCGATTTACAAGTGGAAATTATGTAATAACGGATGAACGGTGCCCTCTTGCAAAATTGAAAACTTTTGAACCTTGACCGCTCTGACCATGGCGTACGCCAAGCGACTTTACGTTTACGCGCGACAATTAGAAGCGTCCAATTTACAATGCACCCTATCTTTAGAACATAAGGAACAAATTAACATACTTGGTAACAAACTTTGGCGTAACGCGAACACCCTATCTCAGATCCATGGCAACGACTAGGTCGCCCTCTCCCAAAACTGATTACTTTTCTGAGCCAAATAGACGCTTCTATGTTACGCGTAAAATCGCGGAGAACACCATCTTGTGTTTATAAGAACTTTGAGCACCATTGCAACAAAAATTGAGGGCAATATTTGAACCCGAGTTCGTTGGTGTAAAATGGAAGCAACTCGGGATCAATCTGGAATTTTTCGTTCGATGTAAATGGGAAATGCACCCGGGATCACCCCGGAATTAACGCCGGTTTATTCTGCCCTTGGCAGTGTAAAGGGGGGTATTAGTCGATTAAAATGTGCACAAGCTACTGTACCCACAAACTGCTTGCAAGTTGTCCGCGCAATTTAAAACTGCAGTCTTGCAAAGGTTTCATTATTGTCTTAAGAAATCATTGCACAGTTTGTAAATTGTCCTTTTGGAAAGAAAAAAAAATGAAAAAAAAATTAAGAAAAAGAAATTATTGATCACCCAAAACGCCTTATTTCCGGGCATCTAGAAAACAAAAATTTCCTGGGGGACAGTGTTGTCTCTCAATCCTTTTCAGACATCTGGATCCGCCCTGATGTGCAAGGACTTGCAGTGCTTGCACAATCTGTAAAAATGTGAGTCTTGAAATGGGTGGGGAAGGGGAAGGCACGAAGGTGAAGTGTGGGGGAAATAAGGTGATTTTGGGTGATTTTTAACTACTCGATTTTGGAGGGGGAATCTAGGGGTGGGGCACAGGTGTACGCTACTGCACAGCACGACAAGTACATTCTGAGTGACTGAAGTTTAGGATAAGGGATGAGCCAGCTCCACCAGTTAGGCCTAGTATCTCAGATATTCTTTGATTGTCGGAACAATAAGCATGGCCCATGTATTATGCAGTATAATTACGATTATGTGCACCTATTTTCCTAGCAATCTTTCGCGCAAATTTGAGATCGCCTAGGTTACTTTGCTGTCTGCTGACTGTCGATGGTGGCAGTTGAGCGATTGTTAGTGCCTGGACGGATGGGAAACTGGCGAATCATCTATCCAGGCAACTAGAAGATAAGTTGGTCCAGTTCGCCGGTAAAACACAATCTACAGTATGACGTAATGCGTAAAGAGAAGAACAGCCTGGATGACTGAGATATAGTCTATAGATTCTTCCTTAATTACTTTAGCCTAGCCTAGGCCTACTACTAGGCTAGGCCTACTGGACTGCTAGCCTAGGCCTACGTAACTCAGGGTAGGGCCTAGGCTAGGAGAGGCACAGTAGGCATAATTTGGGGACTAGCTAGGCCTTGGTAGGCTAGTAGTAGGTCTTGATTACATTTTCTTTAAAAAAAACAACCAAAAAACAGCATTTTTATACTACACACCGTATGACTATGGTATTCGTGACTATCTAGGCCTAGCCTTACCTGCCGATCTTGTTGATGTCTGGCGAAATGCGAGCAAAGATCGTTCGCCGTCCGTCCGTGTGTGAGACAATCATGGAGACAATTCATAAAATTCGGCTCTGATAAAATTTTGTATATAGCGCTCTCTATGTAAAATTCTGGAAATTTTGCATATTTTTTTTTAAATTGTAGTGGGTGAACATTTTCTATTTTCACTCTGACGTAATTTTGTTATTACTGGTAAATCTTTTAACTTTATCTTAGGAATAAATACTGATGATCTTTGCTTCATATATTTTAACAGAATAATTTTAATCGCAAAGTATTCAATATGCCGCCATGAAATGGAAAACATGCCAATCTTTTGCATGTCTTCAACATCTGCAAGACAAATACCGATTCTTTTAACTTAATTATTAGGATACAATCCTAAATATTGTGTCCAAATATTGAGAAGTTTAAAACATTTTGCAAACTAAATTTCTCAATCGTTTAAACATCGTGGTGCTCCAACCCTGAGTATAATACATATTATCATCAAGTTATACAACAT